CGTCTGCAGGGGGCGCTGGAGTCTGATGGACACTCTTCAACCTTGCCTCCCTCCCTTCCTCCTGACTTTGTGATCTTAGACAAGCAAAATCCCTACAGGAAATGAAAATATGCTCAAATGTGATTATTTTTAGTTTACTAGCAGTGCTCAAAGTTGAGGTTAAGTTCTTTGAACAGTTACGCAATAAAAAAGATTATTATTCCTCAGTAAAATTTCAATGAGTGGCAATTAAGGTAAATGCTGTTCCAGGTTCCAATCACTGAGGAATATCCCAACAAATGAAGAACATAAAAACATAAAGATGGAATCTTGATCATGCAATTATGAAACAAACTTCAGATATCCTTTTTGGAGCAAATCTGCTCTGACACATATTGGGAACCAGCTTCTCGATATGGTATGCCTGAAATGCCAAGACAGAACACATGACAAGAAAAATAAACAACAGGTAAAGGGAATAAGAATAAAGTAAACCAAAAAAAGTAAGTGACATAAGAAACATTTGTGCCTTCAGAGCAAATTTGTTTGCACAGTTTATCAACGGATGTGACAGATCAAAAGAGCACAAAGAAAACAAAGTTGAATGACGTGACAAAAAATATTTAGTCATGACCATAATAGTGTGTCCAATCTTTGTACAACAAAGCACTGTTTGCTATGCAATATTTATAGTCAGGTTTAATCCAAACGTAAAGAATACACTCCTTGCTACGAATAACATATTCAGCTTGTTGAATGGATTCTCGCTGCATCAGGCGTCAGCACAGACGCCTGATGCATTATTTACTGTTATATCTGCTGTGTTTTTCTGTCTGCAAAAAGTGTTTTCTCATTAAAGAAGTTTCCAGACAATGCGCAGACGCTTTCGCAGGCATTTACAAATATAGATAGCGTGACATCCTGTGAAAAACACCTGCCGTTGCAGTTGCTATATATAGAATGCATTTCCTGTACTTGCCTGTGTTGAACGCCTATGCTTTGAAGAGAATGCTTTGAAGAGAATAAATATTGAAGGTTTGCAATCTTTTGTTGGAATTTAGCCTGAACATCTACTGTAAGTCTGACAAGCTTCTCCCCTTTTGCTAAAGACAAGTATTTATGTCCTTGTGATCTTTTCAGAGTTTATGTGAAGAATAAACTTAACAATCATTGTTTGCTTGATGACGCAAGACTGGCTTTACTTGACCCCATCAGAAAGAGTTAGAGATTTGAACTTTTGTTGCATGTCCAACTGGCTTTTCCAGAACTTGTCAAATATATTAGCCAACCATTACTGCACTCCAAATAGTCCTCTGTGGTATGAATATTGTGCACACTGATATTTTGATGATGATGACGATATATTTGTGATATATTGAGCAGCCATAGTCAGAACATTTGTAGAAAGCAGCTCAATATTATCTTCAGGGCTTAAACTGCCAACCTTTGAGGTTTAAATATGTTCCAATGTCTTTTTCACATAAAGAAGAATTTGTTTAACATACCTGATTAGTGGCAGCCAGCTCTGGATCCTCTTCTTCTTTATGATCCTGGGTTTCATAATCCCGCTCCTTCTCTGTCTGAGGCAGTATGTTGCTGATTTGCTGATGAGAATCCCTAAAACTAGGCGAAACAGAACTCCTCATATTAGAGCTTAAGCTGCTGCGGTCATCAGTCTTTGTTTCGTCCTGGATGCCTCCGAGAAACGGATCAGCCATGCAGGAGAAACCTTTCAGCTTCTCTAAAGTAGAGGAGCAGAGTCCTCCTCCTCCTTCTCGACTCAATGCTGGCTTTGCCTCTAGGGATAAGAAACAAACCAAGAATATTCAGTTTTCAAACGGTAAAGAAAATATTTTTAGAAGAAATGAAATTAGATGATAAGCTTGTGTTCACTTTCAACACTCTGAGAAGGTCTGGCGTCACACTGCACGTCTTCCACCTGTTGGTCCTTCACAGCCAGTTTGGTTCGTTTTGATGGCAGCCCATCTTCATCACCAGAGGAAAGTTTCAACTGAAGTACAGAAGCCACATAATCACAGGTGCAATAAATTAATGTGTACCTAAAAGTTAATTAACTTCAATATTTAATTCATGAAACTCAAAAATTTTGATTTATAGATGCAAACAGTGAAATATTTGAAGCAACTGTTTTTTTTTATTATTATTTTAATTTTGATTATTGTAACTTAGTGCTTATGAAAGCCATAAAGGTGGTTTATCACAAAAGTATAACTTTACCAAAAACAAATAAAAAAACAGCAGAAATGGATGGAAATGGATGTTCTTGTACTGTAAAGTATGAGCCTTCAGTACTTGGACTGGACCCTTTTTGCATGACTCTGTGAATCAGTGCTTAGAGGCAAGCAGCCTGATGCTTTGCTGAGGTTTTGATGAATTAATTTATCCATTAATTAATTGATCCAGGTGGCCTTCAGCTCATCTCCACTATGGGGTCTGGTGTCTATCATATCCTGCTTGGGGTACAGGATGCAGTTTGTTGATCAATAAAAGAAGAGTAACCCCAGCAGGTGGAATCCCCTTAGAAATGTGAACAGATGCCAAGTTTTGTTGGAAAATTAAATCAGCAACTCCATAAAGTTTGTCAGCAGAAGGAAACATGAAATATTTAAAAATACCTTTATGTCTGAATAAAGTACAATATTCAGACATAAAAGGTCTTAATTCAAAGTCCTCCTATTATACCTGTACCTCTTGCACTTGCATCTTTTTCTCTTTTTCCTCTCAACGTGCAATTAATATAACTGGACACTGGATTATAACTGGAATATTCAATACATCATTCCTTTCAGCCCATAACAGTGGATGATTCAAATAACTGAGTGCTGATAGAGCAGAGGTCACAAAACTGTAGTCGAAATCCTTCTTTATGTGACATTAACCTTCCCGAGAAACTGAATTGTGGGAGGCAATTCAAACCATACATGTCGGATATCCAGTGACTTCACCTTTCCTCTTGAGAGCCGATGCCCTGCAGGATTAGGTTTAATCCCACACTGAGTCCTGCTGCTGCTGCTGCTGCTGCTGCTCAGGCCTCCAAAGTACCTGCTGATGGAGGTCTGGCTACTGCAGGGCTTCTTCTCAGACTTTGGCATGTTTACATTTCTGTCTTTAACCGAAATGTTCTGGAAACCTGGAGAAAACCGGTCATAACAAAGTTGTTGAAGCTCCACCGGCTTTTCAAAACACAGCGGCGCAGGAGCTGACGTCACTCAGGCGCGTAAAATGACGCTCAGGGGCGTAAAATGACGATTTACGCGCATTTTTTTTAATGGCAGTTGCCAAGCAACGTATTGATGTGCACTACCGCCATCTGCTGGAGTGGAGGATGCCCACCCAAACAAACCAAAAGGATCTCTGTCCTTTCTATCAATTTCATCTTCTCGCGGTATTTCAGAAAAGAACATCAGAACACATTAAACTTTAAAATCTCTTTAAATGTGTGATTTTTATTGTGACCCTTTTAAAGACACCAATAAGTTGAAATTAACCAGTAGAACCAGTAATAGTCTAAGATGAAGTGACTTTTTTCCCATTTCTACTAGTAAAGGGCTGATGGCACCTGTACATAACCTCAAGGCTTAATACTGAATATTATCAAATTTTTTGAGTAATATTTGCTGATGCTGATCCAAAAGCTATGCTATCATAATCAAATACAGACTGTATTAAACTTGTGTATATTGCTTTCAATGTTTGTTTGTTTTTTCTCAGCACTCCACTGACTCTCCACCAAACACCACATTTAAAACTCTCTTGCACTTTTTCATTATTTTTTGAATAAGAATTTTTCAAATAAGATTTTCATCCAGCCATAAACCCAAAAACCTAAATGGCTTTCGTCTTTCTAAATTGTGATTATATATTTGCAATTTTAGATTTTCAGACACTTCCCTTGTAAAAAATAGTTTTGTTTTGTCTATAAATGTTTTAAATCCCCATTTAAAGGACTAATTGCTTTATTAATTGCTTCTTATATATTTTTAACAGTAAAATTTAAGATTTTATCCCTCTTCCGGATTGCTCCATCGTCAGCAAATAAAAAAAAAAAAAATAGATATATTGATATATTGGTATTTTCTAAAACTTTATTACAAGAGTGAACTTTAACAAAATATTATAATCAAAATGTCTCTTCTCCTCCCCTGTCACAACAATAATATCTCCATCTTTCAAAACTGGATATCAATGGAAAACAATTTCCGGATATGGCCGTTAAAAAAAGATGGCTGATAAGATTAAGTGGACTATCTGCTGTAATTTTAGATTTTTTAAGTAATATGTAATCTCAGCTGAACATATTACACTTTTAATTTTAAATATAAAAATGTTTTCTGCTCAAAGTTTTTCCCCACAAAATCTTAGACTCTGAAAACTAGAAAAAAGTCAGTTTGACTCACCAGCGTAATTCTAATCTGGCAAAGCTTTAACATTAACCAGTGAAGGTTACATGTACAAATAATTAACATGTTACCCTTGACAATGCTCGTTTGTTCTTTCCATATCAGGCAGGAATGTATTTTACTGTCTGATATGGACAGTAAAAAATTTAAGTGGTTCAATGTGACTTTCCAAATTACGGTACTTTAAACTTTGAAAGTTTAAAGACTTGGAAAACTTAAAGTAAGAAGTTTTGAGTAGTTTATAGTGAGAAACTTTAAACTTTCCAAGGAGGCAATACAACTTCAGAGACCTTTTTGATTTTTTTGACATAAACATCTAAAATTCATCCTACCAATGCCAAAAGGAGGAAATCCAGGAAGCTAAATCTTGAGCTCTTATTTATCCTATTTCTCCATATTTAGCATATTGAGAAACACGATATGTTAGAAAAACCTTTGTAGCTACACACACAAAAAAGGTAATCATTATGTGTGTGCAGCATAAACAATATTCACAGTAGATTGATGCAGCATGTTTGTGCCATAATCACTAGAAACCATGTGTTTGTTTAAGTTCTGTTTTTGTGCTTTCATGTTTTGTTTTTAACTGTGTCACTCTAGGAAAAACTCTTATGAGACACCACAGAGGATGTCTGTGGACAACCCTGACCATCTTCTTCATGAGATGCCTTGGGAACAATAGTGTCTTCAGTCAGAGGCTTCTTCGAAATCACTGTAATACAGACTGTTACAAAAGATCTTTCCTGTTGTAGTTCTAGAAGAATTAATGAGCTACAACAACTTTTAATTTTAATTTATTTTTTTGTCATTGTGATAAAGGGAGATGCAATCAGAGAAATGCACATTTGTCTTTTGATATTTTATTTAGAAAATCAGAGTAAATACAGGTGTCTGAGTAAAGAAAAGCAAGAGAGAAGAAAGAAGAAGAAGTGAAACTTAACACATACGGTTCTCCTTTTTATCTTATCAGTAACGTACACTGCGCCTTCCACCCATCTCTCTCCTGTAGGCAGTTTATCTACATTTCTCCCGGCTCTGGTTAATTAGTACTTTTGTCCCTAAATCAAACCCGGTTCAAAGAAGTTTTGGTTTGAAAGAAAATAAAAAACATCTTGACTGAAACCTCTATTGTCAGATGCATAAGTATAACATTTGCTCAGAAATCTTCATTATCAGCTCCTTAATCTTCCCAGTAAAAAAACAAACTGTTTATTTTCCAAGACAGGATCAATAAAGTATTTTTGAATTTTATTGAATTTGAATACTAAAAATGTTATTTTTTATTTCTTTCAACTGTTTTTAATCACAGTGCAATAAAAATCTGTTAATATACAGTCACATTTTCTAAATGACATATTCCAATATCCTGAATGAACAGCAGTCAGAACGAAAGTGATGCTGGGTTTTTATGAGGACCATAATGTCATTGGAGTGCTCTTTATATTCGGGTCTCATTGGAGCGGGCTTATTCAGAAAAACAAACTGAAAGAAGAAAGGACTGAAAGAAAAAGTTTTTTTCCTTTTTCAACGTTTATGATGAAGCTTTACGGATTTCTTGTCCTGTTTGTAACTTTTTCTGTTGGTAAGAATTTCTTGAATTTAACAAAAAAGGGGAAATAAAACAAATATTAGCTTTTGTAAGCAATTCAGGTTTTCTCATAAAGTGTAGACGTATCTCTATGATAAGTCATATTCTTTTGTTTAAAGTTCTCCTTATTAATGCATAAAACATTTGAACTGGATTTTATTATTTTTTTTTATTTCAAACCAAATTTTGAGTCTTGTTTTTATTGAAGATTGATTGATTGATTTACTCATTTCTGCAAAACAATTTTACAGAAATAAACTCATTAATGTACTAAATTCTGTAATAAGAGTTTGGATTGAACTGTATTAATACTGTTTTCAACAGTACAAACAATTTTCTCATGTTTTTACCGTTAAAGGCTTTATGACTTTCTTTTAATTTAACTGAACATTAATATTTAAGCAGCTTGTAAATTTAATATGAAAGATACTCATCTGTCAAGTTCTTAGCTTGTTTTCGCTGTTATTGATACTCATGTTTAATTCTTTTGATTCTTCATTCAGCATCTGGATTGAGATGCTACCTGTATGGCACAGCAGATTCTATTACCTGCTCTGGTATTCAAACGTGTCCTGCTGGTTATGACCGATGTGCTTCTGCCAAGATAGAAGGTAAGCTATTGAATGTATGAGAATCTGATAGAACTGATCACTTGAAGAAAGGTTTAACTTGTTGTATGAGCACATTAAGAACATTCTAGCGTGTTTATGAATACTTCTCATACGTTTTCTTGCTCTTACAGGAGTCACTTTCAAGGAGTGCTTGAAAAACACAGACTGCATTTCTCCCATAAAGTGCTGTGGAACGGACTTGTGCAACAGTGCCATACCAACTGGCCCTGGTGTCACTCTGCTGCTCCTGTCTTCAGCCCTTATGATGCTCTTTATTTAAGGCTCTGAAATCATGATCCTGTTCTGGTTTATTGTTTTGTCTTTTAACAATTACTCTGAGTTTACAGTTTACATGCAGTCATCACAGATATGCAGCAGTTTGTCTGTTCTGAACATGAAACAAAATCTGAAGCCATGAAAGAATAAACTAATCAAATGCTCAATCAACAATTTGCTGTTATGTGCTCTTTTCAATAGCAACATTTTTGAAGATAACGTGATCAACCATTATGTTTTCACATTTTCTAAGCTCAAGAATAAAACGTGAAAGACACCAGGCTCTTTCAGGGGCTGTAAAGTTATTCAATAGTTATCTCTCATTTTTATTTAGATGAAGCTCTAATTATTTTTGTTTAGTACTTTTAAAGGGATTATGTATTATGTAAAATTTTATTTTTGGATCTTTATATTATGGTATAATATTATCTTGTCATCAAAAACATACCTGGAATGTTGCTGTGATTTTTTTTTATGAATGTTTGAGAAATATTTGAAGCCATTCAGGAGTGCCTAAATGGTTGCTCACATAAAGTGATGATGATATACACAAAGCTCCTCCTTGGAGTTGCAGACCCCAGTTGAGCTTTCACCCCACAGAGCAGCTCAATATCACTCATCCCCCCCAAACTAGCGGCAGCAGCAACAATTACCAAATGCCTGGTGGAAGTGGGAATCTGCTGATCTCATCACACAAACTATTTCTCAGTCCAACGCTCCTAATTACAGTTGTAAACGGCATAATGGAGTAGCATTGTTGTGGTGATGTTTTGCTGATGTGCAGCTGCAATTTAGGATCCTCTAGTTCTTGGGGAAAGTTTCAGCACTGAGAATGAGAAGTAAGTGATCAAGAAGGTGAAACAGTATGGTTGACAGGAAACATCTGCTTGCTATGGAGGCCTAGAAACCGAGCTATTTTTTCTAGTCACACAGTTATTCTGTTTAGCTTAGCATAGCTTGTATATAACTGTTTTTTTATACTAACTCTATTCAACTTACTTACCAACTTAAGGTAAAAATTATTAAACCATTATAGACTACAAATACTTAACATAGTTACACTCTTCCTTGTCAGCTGCTGTGCTTTATCTTAACTTTTGAAACAATTCAGCATGCACACATGCTCTGGTATGTTTTGTGCCTCTGCATATTACATAAGTAGTCAACATGGGCTGCCAATGAAAAAGATACTAGATCTATATTTGGTCCCAGTGCAGCCCTGATGGTAACATCATGTTGTCAGCATACTGGTCAGAGTTGACAGGGAGATACAAAATACAGGCCAGTTTGAATCATTTTTCTGAATTTCCTTTCTATCTTTTACTCAGGCTGTTGTTCACAGCAGTGAAAGGTGTTCTGTGTAAAAATGTCCACTCTGGTGGGTAAGTGTAGAAATCACAACCATTGGCCTCGGCTTCATTTTTTGTTTCCAAAGACTAACTTAATCTAACTCATATTAGAAACAACCTAGATTCATAGCAGGCTGTATCAAATAAGGCCGACTTCACAGGCAGTCACATGAAGGCTTTTGAAACCAATTTATCTCACCACTTACTCAAAAACAGACTGCAGTTCTTGTGGTTTTCTATTGCATGAAAATGATTTGTTGGCACTCAGAAAAAGTTTCTATTTGGTCACAGACGACCCAAAAAACAAACACATACAACTTCCTTTTTCTGCTGTTCTTGTGATTTTCTATAAAATGAAACTGTTTTGCAGTGACTTCAAGAAAGTTCCTATTATGTAGCAGCTTAAATTTCTGAATTGGTGTAATAAGTGGTGCACAAAAGAGTCCATATATTTATTTATTTGTTTATTTTTTGTTTCATTTATCTTGAAAACATAACTACTATTTGATTTTGTACACAAGTTTGGATTAAAATAAAGTTCAGGTTAAATACACTGTTGGCTGTACAGATAAAACATCAACAAAATCACAATAACTGCAGTAATGATCTGCTTTCCCAATTATTTTTGACTATTTAAATTATTTACTGGTAACTTTGGAACATTTAAAAATGGGATTTACATTTTTAGCTTTCACCTTCCTTCAGTTACCATTTACTGTGAAAGCCTGTAAAATTCTATATTAAAATTCTTATCTGTATTGTAGCTAATTTTTAGCTAGATCAGTGTTTGTTTTTCATCAATTTGTTAATGTTTTCTTAAAAGTGGAACTCTTGTTATAATTCTTTTACAAGATACTTGGCTGTGAATGTTTTACAGTTAGAATTACAATTCTACAATTAATCATTTTATATTTTGCTTTTTTTTCTTTGTTGGTTTACTATCACTTCAATGGATGACCTAGCATGATCTAGTAAAATATATATATATATATTTTTTTATAAATCATCTTACTTGACTCTTCTTTCTTTCTCCTAAACAGTTTTTGTTTGTAGCCTAAAGTTATTAAGCAGATTTTTTTTACTTTGTTGCCTAGAAATAGAATAGAATAGAATAGCATTTATTGTCATTGAACAGGATTCAACGAAATTTCTATTGCAACTCCCGTGCAAAAAGTCAAAATATACAATATTAAATAAACAAACACACAATAATAATAATATATACAACTAAAATTAACTAAAGGCACTCAACCACACCAAAGAAGAAGCAGCAGGTCCAATTATGGTAAAGTGCAGATGATGTGACAGTGCAAGTGCAGAACAACATGGCTGTGTGGGGGTGGGGGGTGTATGTGAGGTTATGATATGTGTGGGAGGGGGCGGCAGGGAGTAATGGCTCTGACGGCTGTGGGGAAGAAACTGTTTCTCAGTCTGTTTGTTGTAGTCCGTATATTCCTGAACCGCTTGCCTGATGGCAGCGGCACAAACAGACTGTGGCCCGGGTGGCTGGAATCCATGGCTATGGATCCAGCTCTCTTCTTGACCGGCCTATGTAAATAGAGTCCAGGTCCGGGAGGGGGCATCCCACAATGCCTTGTGCTGTTCTCACCACCCGTGTCAGTTGTTTCCTCTCCAGTGCTGTGCAGCTACCATACCACACAGTCACGTTGAGGCAGAGGACGCTCTCGATCGTCGCCCTGTAAAAGTTCAGGAGCAGCCGTGAAGAAAGTCCAGCACGTCTCAGTTTCCTGAGGAAGAAGAGCCTTTGTTGTGCTTTCTTCACCAGGTGGGAGGTGTTGGTATTCCAGGAGAGGTCAGGTGACGTGATGTGGAGGCCCAGGAACTTGATGTTGTCCACACGCTCCACCTCTTCTCCATCTATGAGAAGGGGAGTGTGACCCGTCCTCCTGGACCTGCTGTAGTCCACAATGACCTCCTTGGGTTTAGCACCAAGTTATTGGCTGAACACCACTGAGTGAGCTGCAGAATCTCCTCTTTGTAGTGGGTCTCGTTGTTGTCTGAAATGAGACCCACTACTGTTGTGTCGTCCGCAAACTTGACGACTGTGTTGGTGGGGTGGATGGCAACGCAGTCGTGTGTGAACAGGGTGAAGAGAGCTGGGCTGAGCACACAGCCCTGCGGCGTGCCTGTGTTGAGGACCAGTGGGGACGATGTTGAGCCACCTATTCTCACCACCTGAGGCCTGTTGGTGAGGAAGTCTCTGATCCAGTGGCACAGTGAAGCAGGCAGCCCCACCTTGAGTAGCTTCAGCACCAGCTTGTCTGGGATGACGGTGTTAAATGCTGAGCTGAAGTCTACAAATAGCATCCTGACAAATAGGTTCTTATAATGTGCTGTATCAACAAAAGTATTTGCTCGCCCCTACAAATGATCAGGTGTTCCAGTCACTTCCATGATCACACATGTATAAAATGAAACACCGAGGCAAGTATTTGCAAATATTTGTGAAAGAATGGGCTGCTTTCAGGAGCTCAGTGAATTCAAGCTTTGATCTGTGTCAGGATCCGCTGTATCAATAAGCACATCCTTGTTGATGTATCAACAAGCGCAACCAATTTAAATTTCTTAAATATTCCACAGTCAACTGTAAGCTGTATAAGAAAATGGAAGTGTTTGGGAACAACAGCAACTCAGCCACGAAGTGGTAGGCCACGTAAAGTGACGGAGCGGCTGCTGAAGCCAAAGAGCAAAGAGCTTGTCAACTTTCTACTGACCTCCAAACTTCATGTGGCCTTCAGATTAGCTCAGGAACATTATGCACAGAATTTACATGCCAAGTGAGTTGCCTTGTGTGAAATAATGCAAACATGAACTGTTTTCTGTTGAAAACTTTGTGTGTGAGAAATAATAAAAAAAAAAACAACTTTAATTTAAAAATCTAATTTATATTAAATATTTAATTTAAATTAACAATTTACATTTTTAAAGTCACATTAAATTAACCAGCTGGAAAGTCAACTTTAAAGCGACATTCTATTCTATTCTATTGTTTTTAGCACAATGCTTATGTATTCTTCCTTTATGCATTTTCTAGCTTTTAAAGGCTTCCCTTTTTCAAATGGACAGACTCCTCCTGTATAATTCATAACTGAATTACAATATGATTTTTATACCCATTAAAATTGATTATTGTTGATTTGTTGCTGCCGAAATGGTGACTTTTTCTGTTTTATCTACAGTTTTCACTCAAGTTTTTGTGCTCAGTTTCTCTTTAACTTTTCTATATTTACTATTGTCGATGTGAACTGGACCTGGAGTATGACTTGCTTTGAATGAGAAGGCAGTTATTTGATCAATTTTATCTTTTTTTGTTGGTACTATTTCCTCCTATTTAGTCATGTCCTCTCAGCAATTCATGTTTTAATCTTACTTAAAATATAAATAGAGTTTATATTAAATGTATGATTTTGCTAAAATCCAACACAACCTGCTATTATCATTTATTATTTCCAGCTATATTGCTACCAGGTAAATTACAACATTTATGGGCTGTTTATTCAGATTACAGGCGGTCCAAAGACAAAACCGAAACCAAAGACGGATAACAAAGTGTGCACAACCCATTTTGTTTCAGAGGGCTGATTCACAGATCAAGTTCACAATGCAGCTTCACGGAGTTCTGATCCTGTTTCTCTCATTCTCTGCAGGTGAGATTAGACTTACTTTTTAACAAAGACCGATCAAATTTAAAATGCATTTAAAGTAAATGTGTCTCTCTGAAGATTATGTTTTTAACCTGAAACATTCAAGAATCCATCTCATCTCTTGGCTAAGTAAACTTGTCAACATTCAAAATATTTTTACATTAGTTTCAAAAATACAGATTTTGTATTTAATACGCCACTTTATTGTGGTAATATTATTTACCTGTATGAGTTTTACTACATTGAAATGCTCCCTTTTAGACAATGAGTGAAAATATGAAGTAAACACATTTTGTCACATTTTACATTGACTTTTTATAGCTTGCTCATGTTCAACACTTCTTTTTTCAGCATGTGGATTGAGATGCTACTCATGTGTATCAACTGCATCTAACTCCTGCACTGACATTGCAACTTGCCCTGCACAATTCGACAGATGTTCTTCTGTTGAAAAAGATGGTGAGCTGTTAAATTTATTTGCTGCAAGTAGTGATCACTTACAAAACGATTAAATTACTGGCATAAGCATTTTATGGTCATAGTGTTATATTTATAAGCCCTATTGACATGTTTTCCTGTTCTGCCTGATAGGAGTGGTTGCCAAGGCCTGCATGCTCAGTTCACTCTGCATTTCTCCCATAAAGTGCTGTGAAACGGACTTGTGCAACGGTGCCGTACCAACTGGCCCTGGTGTCATCCTGCTGCTCCTGTCTTCAGCCCTTATGACGCTCTTTATTTAAGGCTCTGAAATCATGATCCTGTTCTGGTTTATTGTTTGGTCTCTTAACAATTAATCTGAGGTGTCAGCAAACATGCAAATGGGACAGAAATACAGCGTTTTTATTCATCATGTAATACACATGTCTCTTTTAACAATAAAAATGTAGTGAGGTAATAAACTAATGAACTGCTCAAATTGCTGTACTGTAATATTTTTTTTATAAGTGAAGTGTTTTATTTAAATGTTCTTCTCAATATAAAAACAACTAATAACTTGATCAACTAGCGTGTTTAACTTATATTTTCCACTATAATAAAACGAGTAAAATGAAGAATATAAAGTTATTCCAGTTACTCCAAATCTACTCTCTCAAGATGTAAAACAAATACACAATGGAAAAGGAAGAACAATTTGTAGAGTTTCACATGGCATTTGCATCTAACGTGAAGAGATTAGTTTAGATTTCTGAACTTGTCAATTTGTTTCATTTATTTCTACTGGTTGCCAACGTCAAGTTCATATAACATGGTGGTTACAACCCAAATAGTCAACACATGCACACACAGAAGAAAAAATTATTATGAATTAAGTTTAATAAAATTATGACAGTATTTGTTATAGATGTATTTGAAAGCAGCTATAATCAAAAGGAGGAAAGAAATATTTTTACCAGAAGCCACCCTTGGCTTTGTGCCTCTTACAAGATTGTGACAAAGAAATAAAATGACACACACAGAAGTTGTGCAAGAAACAGAAGATCTTGCATGGACAGGTTTTATACGGAAACTATTCGTGAGGTGCTCAACCACAATGCTGTCTGCAGTGTTCACACCCAGCTTGAATTTCGTGAGAAATAGCTTATCATACCCTGCCAGGTCCTGCTGGAGGTTTTTTCATGTTAAAGGAGAGTTTTCCTTCCGATTTTTACTGAAAGTGTGGTCAGAATGAGGAACAGTTTCAAAGTCAGCAATGGAATGCAAGCAACAACTTTTGGCAACATGTTGGTGCAGGAGGAATGAATGCTGCACGCTACTTTTGATAGAAAGCATTTTAATCATTCTTTAAAAAGTTTCCTTGAAACAACATCTGTTGTAAAACTGATACAATGGAGATTGACTTAATTCAATTGAATTTAATTGTTCTAAAATTGTTCATTTCCTTTATTTAACCAGGTAAAACTCCATGGAGATCCAGATCTCATATTTCTGTAAACTCTGTGAGCTGCTGTCATTCTGAGACCTGAAGAAGCTTTTTGAATGAGTTGAAATTTCTGAAAGAAACAAGAGATGGAGCCCAGTTGCCACTTGTTTAAATACAAAGAGCAGTCATTGCAGGTGTGACTGAGAATCTATGTCACTGGAATGAAGAATCACATCAATGTACATTTAAAAGTAGGTAGTTAGATGTTGCACTCTCAATGACTTCCCTGCAAGAGGAAAGAGGAAGCTGTTATTTTAATTTTTAATCTCTATTGTTCTCAAAAGTTTGAGACCGTTTTGCTCACTGGAAAATACAACTTACAATATTCATAGGCACTTCCTCTCTCAGTCTCTAATATCAACCAACATTTCTTGATTATTGTCTAATCCTCAATTATTTACCAAATCAAGTTTCAACATATTTTTCACTACAGATTTATTGCTTTCTATGTGTGACATGATAAACGCTTAAACGCTACAACACTAGCAGTGACTAGAGACACAAACAACGGTTAAAATGTATTATATTTATTAGTGAGACAAATCAAGTCAAAATCAACACAATAAGGTTAGATTGTGCCCAAATATATTTTAACACAGCAGCAAAATAATAACAGTGGGAAACCAAATGTGACTGCTTTTAACATATCGCATGACTTAAACGTAAAGTTAAATTGAGTTTAACACTGGAAAAGAAAGTTGTCCCCTCACTGAAAGAGGAAGATAACTATGAGACTGTGCTGAAATCACATGCCATATCAGGTTTTTGCATGTCATGCAGTACATTCAATAAAAGAAGTTGAAATAAAGAAAGTCAATAATCAGAAGAAACACTGCTGGCATTGATTTATCAGACAAACACTATCAGGAGTGTGAGAACTAAAAATTATTTTTTACACATACAACCTTGTTAAAAATATTACATATGAATACAATAATAATTACAATATGGCACAATGTTGCAGAGCAATCATATTCATTCAAACCTACAGAATGTTAGGAAATCTATACAGAATCATTGTGAGAAATGCAACACTTCAAACATACATGCGCTGCATTAATAATGTATTGTTCAAATTGTTTGGCACTCGCCCTTTAAATACCAAGTGTTTATGTGCAGCAGCCAAAAGGGTTACCATTAAAACAAAATTGAAAAAAAAACCCCTTTAAGCCTTGAAAGATCTCTACTGTCACGCTGGAGTTCCCTGGGTTAATTTCAATAAACATCAGAAATAGCTCAGCGTATCTTTTTGATTATTAACAGAGTTCCCTTTAAAAAAGTCTTTGGGTGGTTAAACTCTCTGTAAAGGTAACATTTTACATTCTGCTGTCATCTTTTCACTTCCTGCCAGCTGTTTTCAGCTCTGCTAAAAAGCAAATCAGGTCTAAAGACAAACCTCATGACATATCAATATATTAAGAGTGTTACGTCCAGATAATTTAACCATTTTTGTGCTTTTGTCTCATGCTAGCAATCACTGTAAGTGCATAATAGTTCATGCATTTGCAAAGACGTGGCTTCAAGCATTTCAGCGTGTACAGAATTGTATCAAGACTTCGCTGCTTACTTTGCAAAGCAGAGATAAGGAAAGAAAACGACCAGGCAAATGTGAAGAACAGGAAAAATATGGCATCATACAGAAAAATAATTTATAATAAACCTGCTACTGTAAATAAAGAACATCTCAACATTAATGGCACCCTGAGCAATAAATTTAGCTTGTGCAATTTTGAAAGTGAAATGGCACAATAGGTCAGGAATCACCAGCCTGAAAGCAATTTGCAGTTTGCTTACAAGTACCTAGAATGACAGGATTTCTCCTTCAACTGTTTGTTATTGTCAAGTGAAATTACAATAAAGTGCAGAAATCAAAAATGTAAGTTTATGCATGTTAACTTGGGCAGCTGAAAAGTTGGTAAGTTCAGACAAGCACTTTTACCAGAGGTCCAAAAGCCCAAGTCAGGATCCATATTGGCATCCAGAAAGCCTCCAGCAGATGTACTCCTTATCTTATGGCACAGTTATCTGAGCTACCCTGCATTTTAGTTTAGTTTAGAAAAACAACCATGACCCTAGTTGCATGTCATCTAAAGCTGATGGTGTTAGGCATTGAGGATTAGTTTTCTGCACTACAAAGGAAGGCTTTAGTTATGGCACTATCAAGGATTCGCTTGATGGAAGGCACATGAGGATGAGGTTTGGCATAAAAATGTAAAGAAAACTAAAAACGAGATGCACAAATCAATAACCATATCTGGCTTGATTGGCTCTGATCAGTAATTTGCAAAGCAGATTCTGATTTTCTTTTTATTTATTAAACTTATAAAAGCTAAAGATCCATGTTTGAATAGTGTATGCATACCGGGATAAAGAATGTGAATTCAAAGTGTTCCCTGACCAAGGATGTCACTTTTTACTGCCCTTTTATCTTACTGTCTTCAAAATGCCAAGACATTGACAGTCAGTGAATTAAATTACATCCTATATTTGTGTACCGCAAGGAAAATGAGATTAAAGGCTCATACATATTCCACAAGAGCAGAAAAATTAGTTCCCACTTTCAGAGTTGCAAGAAAGAAGAATAAAATTATTTTCTTCAGGTCAAATTTGACAGTTTTAGCTTCTTTTTTTGCACATATTCAGAATAGTTTCTTGTGTGGCTGGTCACAGTGGAGTTCTGGACCTGAATTAAATTTTCTAACATGACATGTTTTTTTCAACGTGTTAAAAGTTCTTACGGAAAATATGTAAATCAGCAGGTCTAACTTCAAAGAAAATCAGAGACCTGTGTTGGTCAGTAAAGATCTGATTGGTGCATCTCTTCAAAAAGGGAATTTATTTATTCAGGCAAAGAAGAGCAGCTTGTTGGATGCATAGACACAACATCCACCAAAATGTGAACTTTCCCTTTAGAAAGCAAACATTCTGTGTCATTTACTGGCTTACTTGCTGAAGATACAGTGCATCTGTCAGTGCATCTTTCTGTAAAGTTATTTTTTTATGTCTCAACCCATAAAAAGTAAGCTAACTCATCCAGATCCACAGGGTAGTCAGTGAGGTACATGGGACCTTTGTATGTTCCTTTTTTGCTTTTCCAGTGACCTGCTGGGAGGTAAATGTCCCTCTCTTGTTTTCCTGGCTCCAACACTGGAGCCACCAAAAGGTCATCCCCAATCAGAAACTGGGAGTCAATCTTAAAGGCTGCCTCGTCGTCTTTGGCGATCCACCACAGAGGCCTTATGATGGGGTCTCCAGTACCGACAACTTCCCCTGCCAGCTCAAGAACCCTAGGAGCCACCTCAGTTTCATGGAGCTCTGAAAATGTCCGTGCAATCTGAATCACCTGGAGATTAATAAATTGTGTTTTAGCATCACAGAAGAGCACAATCAACAAATCATCAAGCATTTATGTATTTATATTTAGCATGAATGTGGAAAATTTCATTGATGGTTTCATCTCAGCTAATATCTGACTAGGAAGGAAGGATTTCAGTTAATAAAGCAACAATTTGGGATTACAATCAAATATTCGGCTTAGATGGTTTTTAACCAGCAGGTTGTGATTTGAAGGACATAAGAAGAGACCCATTGAAATCCTGAACAAATCGACTCAGATACACGGCATTCTAGTAATTATTTTTTGCTTTATAACAACAGCAAATTGGCTGCGAGAAAGAAAGAAAAAATACTGAAAACATTGTGGGTTTCAATCTCTACAGTTTGGTTTTGAAGAAACTAAACCGTAATTTTTAAAGAAACATGTTGGTGCCCTCTTGTGGTAATATTGAAAACTGCTCAAAGAAAATAATTTCTTCTCTGAATGTGAATCATATATTAATTATATCTTTATTTGGCAAATGTATTTAATGTATTTTAAGCATAAAAATCAATCAGTATTCATAGTCCTTTATATTCTGAATATTCTGTCACAATCCAAAATTTCAATGCATTTTACACAGATTTTATGGGACAGACCAGCACAAAGCGGTGCATAATTGTGGATTCAAAGGGAAATTCTACATACAACCATGTATTCATTTAATTGTTTTCTGACCTGACAGGCTGAGCATTTATCAGAGAAGGAGGCAAGAGGCCCATAATAACGCTACAGATGCTGCATAGGTCTACAGCTAATGTTGAAAAATCTGCAGCACAACTATGAGGTTTCTACTCCACAAATCTAGTTTTCACAAAGGGGTGATAAACAAAAATGAATTTTTATAAGAAATCCCAAAGAAGTCCAATTTGGCACACGCAATGTAAGGGACAGTACAAACATGTGGAAGAATGGTGCACTGGTCAGAGGAGACCAAAACTAAACTCCTTCATTTTTAACCTACTTGAGAAATGCATTGATGCCAAAAGTAAAAGAGAGGACAATATAGCAAAAACAAAAACAATAAATACATTAAATCATAAACTTATTCCAATAATGAGATGTCTTGTACATGCTCACCTCATCGCCATAAGCCCATGGTGGTATGGAGAATTGCATGGCAGGCATAAAAGCGGACAGCTCTAACCATCGGATGTACAGCTCTTTGTCTGGCAGAGCATGTGTTTCATTTACCAAACCTGAAATACAGTAGAGTTATCAAGACCTTTAAAAATTCAGATCAAAACACCTAGGTTCCAGTGTTTCCTACCTGTAGTTCGGTTGGGGTACGCATTTCCTCCTATCATGTCTGGTAAGACAAACTGGTATCCCAGAATGCTTATAGTCAGAACAGTGGGGATGATAGACTTGAGGCCAAGCTCATATCCCCAAACTGAATCTCTGTTAATGATCCTGAAGAAACAGGAGATATTCTGACTCTGGTAACCCACACGGAGCTCGGCATGTGAACTGAAAGGTATGGCCATCTCGGCATAGCGCCGGGTGAAGGTGGAGGGGTCAGACAGAGGGATCAGAGTGCTAAAATCACGAGGGAGGTAGGTCGTTTCCCCTGCGTCAAACTTGAATGACGTCACATTATAGCGCCTTGTGAGGGAATTTAAGTGTGACAAGAACCATGTAATAGCTTCTGGGTTTGTAAAGTCCAAGATGCCTCCAATCCCATTCCACCATCGGACCAGGGCGGGCAGTTCTCCGCTTCGCTCGTGGACAAACAGTCCTTTCTCCAGAGCAACTCCGAAATTTATAGAGTCGTAGTTGATAAAAGGATGTGTCCACAGCGTCACCTGAAATCCATCTTTAAAGAGTTTTTCAAACATACCGCTGGCATTGGGGAACTTCTGGGGGTCAAAGTCAAACTCTCCATAGTCAGTGGTGTAGCGGTCATCCAGCTCTAAATGGGACCACTTAAAGCCATATTTAATGATGTCTGATGCGTAGCGCAGCAGCTTCTCCTGAGTTACAGCTGTCTTATAAAAAGCCCCAGTGGACCACACTGGCTTTTTGAACAATTCCTGGGATGGAACCCTGATGGGCTTTGGAAAGTATCGACGCACCTGACAAAACAAAACAACACAAAGAGCATAAAGTGTGAAATAACATTTAATATCAACCTCTTTTCTTTTTGTTATTAAGGGACACTTTGAAATAAATTCAAATTTTGTGTACCTGGTATACTGATAGAGGACATGCAATGTAAACTAGCTTTTTGATTATATTTTGTATATATTTAAACATTATATAAATGACTTCAAGGTGTAAAAAGGTTTTAAAAATGAACCGTTTCAAAAATAAAATCTTTTGTCATACCATTTAAACATTTTCTGGAGAGTCCTGGAGTGAATAGTCTTCTCTGGTTCTCTGGTTGTATGGACCGGAAAAGACTGGTCCATACAACCAGTCGTCTGGTTGGACGGACCAGAAGACCATGCAACCAGCGATATGCATCGACTCCATGCATATCTCTGGAATCAGTGCATATGCATAGAATCAATGCAGTTACTAGTGTGTTATTAGTAGTAGTGTGATTTGCATCACTGAACTGCACACAGTATTTTCAAATGTTTTGGTATTTATTGATGGTTTCTTTGAACACAGTGAAGAAAATAGTAAAACTATTAATCCTAACAATAATGACAGTTTTTTTTAAAACATCACTAATAGAAATTTATCATGACAATGATAGAAGAATTTTGATTCTTAAGAATCAGATGTTGGAAATAGTGTCATATGAACAAATGCTGGCTAAATAATGACAAAACTTCAAGGAATCCTGGGACTATTTCCTTTCCTGCAACACTGGGACAAGTAAACTCCTTTGATTAACTGCTGTTTTGAAAATGCTGTTTACTGTGAACTTCTGTTTACTGTGAACTTCTGTTTACGGTGGTTGTTTCTGCTAACATCGAGGATTTTGTATATGTTAATTTTCTGCGAAACTTTTATTGATTTGATATGCGCTGACCTAGTTGCTTTGTTTTTTGTATTTTTTTTTTTTTTGTTTGTTTGTTTGAGGTGGGGTTAATTGGGGGGGTTCCATACATATGTTCTGAAAAATGCTAAAAACTTTAATAATAAAAAAAAGAATCAGATAATAAATGATATAATAAATGCCCACCACCATCAGCAGCAGCATTTATCAAAGACAAACTATAGAGTTTATCTGTGCAAATATTTTAGATTTTAAGTCACTAATAATCTTTAAGAGCTCTTCCTAATACATAAGTACAATTAAGGTTTTGTCAGAAAATATCTTTCTGTTCTCTCCATCTATGCAAACATACCTACCATATATTTGTGAAGTGATGTGAGATCCAGCCCCACACAGACCCTGTAGCTGAGCTCAGGGAAGCCGGAATGTCCCACCGGTGGTTTAAAAGGAGAGCCCTGGTATCGGGCCACAAATCTGAGAGTCTTGCTCTTCTCTGACCAGCCCAAATGAAAAGGGACAGAGTCCTTAATCTTTATTGCGGTTGCATTGGAAGACAGCCAGTAACGCTCAAGGATTCCCCCAAATGCATTTCGATTGGAGTAAACATCGCTGGTGATGAAAGGAGACGGTTCCTTTTCGCCTTGGTTTCTTATAGGCCAGTGCTGCGTTGCCATCTCTGCTCCTCCGTACCAGTGAGAGTTATTGTAGGCCATGGCATGTTCCACAGAGCTCATATCCATCAGCTCCTCCCAGTGAATGCGATAGCACATTACCGTGTCCTTTTCTCTAACTGTCTGGATGAAAAAGTTCAGCTTGCCAGTTTCTGACCGAGTACAGCTGAGAATATGTCCCTCCTTTGTGCAGGAGTCCAGATCTAGAGCGCCAGACCTAGAACAATGCACACGAGAGAGGACACATGACACAAGAGGGGAAGTTATTCACAGTACAGATTAAGAAAGTCATATTCTGTGCAGCTGAAATCAAAACTAACTGTAGCTAGACTACAAAGCCTCAGCTATGGGCTATTTCTGTTGATATGACCTCTGCAGATAATGGTCCATGACTAAAATGGTCTTCCCTTAGGGGGTAATCATGTGTCTGTCTCATCTGGTTTCCCATCCCTAACTCACAAACCGCAGACTGGCAGCCACTCAGCACGAGCATCCAAAAACACTGAACAACTCTACTGAAGCAAACACATCTAGTCACTCCACAAGAGGTGACCATAGTTCTTTTACCAATATTTATTCCTGGTTCTTTGCTGAGTCCTTAAATTTTGTAGCAGTTCCCCTTTTCAATTTTGTTTTAGTTTGCCTCGTCCATCTGCCTATCCTTTAACTTCACAAGGTCCAGTTATCAATTTATGTACACAATCTAATTCAGTCCAAGACAATTAATTTAGTTTAGTCATATACATTCATGAAGAATAACATTGTGACAAGAAAAGGCACACTGACTCATATTTAAACTAAGCACTGCCATGTGCAACAAATCGTGGAGCACTGTTTACAATTATGACACCTTTCTATCAGTCCCAAAAAATTATTTTCAATAATATAAGGTCCAGGCCCCTCTGGAAAATGAGATCCAGATCTCAATGGCGTTTACCTGGTTAAATAAAAGGAAATAAACTTTTTTTTTTTCAAAATGAGCTACAGTTTTTCATCTGTTTTTTTGGCTGGCCTTCCCTCCCAACATGTATCAATAAGCTTTGGCTGCCCATAAACATTCTTTGATTAGTCACTGTTTCTTCCTTGGACCATTTTTGACAAATACTGACCACTGCACAAATGGTCAAAGCCCAAAATGAATTTTTGGAATTATTCTGATCCAATTGTCAACCGCTAAATGTTCAACTGTTGTCAAACTTGCTCGAAACATATGCCAGTATTAACAGGAACCTTATGATTGACATATGCTCAGATTCAAATCAAATTAAAAGTACGGTAAAATCAAAATTGGCATAATATTAATTGCGAATAGGTTTTAATAAAAAAAGGCCAGTTGATTGCAATGATTTGTTGACTTTATAACAACCAGATAAAGCAGGTGGCAGCACTGAAGAAGAAAGTCTCCTAAGCAAATGTTTCTAATTTAGTTATTATCAAAAAACCTACATACAAATAATATAGAAACCAAAATTCACTGTTAATGTTCTATTTTGGATCTAACTGAACTTTTCCCCCAGTAGCATGAACATTTTACTATATTATATCCATATCCTAACTACAGATTATAATGAGTGTTTTATTCTTTGCCGTTTTTTTAGCTGATGTCAAATTTTTCATTCCATAAACTTAGAAGGTAATGTTCTTCAGCCATCTTCTCACGCTACTATTCGTATACTGTCACATTTAAGATTTTCCATTCATTTCATTTGTAAACCGTGTTTAATTTTATAATCAACATCAGCATATTTTTGGACTAGTTCTGTCATTATTGACCAGCGAACCAATAAAGATGAAAATCTGTTGAATAATTAAACAGTTTTCCACTGCAGACTAACCTGAATGCCATGCTGAAGACAGCCTCCCCGGCTTGGTTCCGTATAACGTAGCCATCTTTTTTCAGGTCCAGTGACTCGGCCTTCAGCAGATGGGCTTTACGAAGAGACAATGAATAATAGAACCAGGCGATGACAGCGGCCAGAACCAGCACACCACCCAACAGACCTGCCAGCACCATCGGCCGGCTATCCTCTCCAAATTTCTTTTTCCGTGGGGAGCCATGGGCTCTGTCAATCACATGCTGCTCTCCAGGAGCTCCTGGAACAATCTGATACATGCTGAAATCTTGTATAAAGGTGTGAAAAGAAGCAGGTTTGGTGGCGGTGCGACAGCTGCTCACTTGGTATCAGTGCTTCTTGAGAATGATCTCGCTGGCAGCTGAAGTCTACCTGCAAATTCTTAATGTCTTCATATCTGGATAACGACTGATATGTCGAAACCTGTAAGATGAGAGATATTAAACGTCAGCTGAGGGATGCCTCAATGTTCAATCAGAAGGAGGAAGGAAGAATAAAACATGACAGCAGAACGTCTGAAGCTGCTTTCTGCTCCAGCTCCTAGACGCTGCGCTGGAGTTACTCGCATTGGTCGCAAGTGTCCAGCAGCATATCTAATTAGTATCCAGCAGATAATGTGTGCAGCAGGTGTAATCTGATAAACGTCAGGTAGTCAGGTTCAGTATTCATATAAAGTTACACAAGCACCAGAGCTAATAAAAGTAACGAAAGCCTAACAAGAAGCTACAATCAGTCAGAACAGCACAGACACCAAGTCAGCAAGGTACAGCTTCATTTATCACTGGCCCAAAGTAAATAATATTTAGGATGAGCAGCCCTCTAATATCTACACTGCAGCAAGCCTGTAGTTTTCAGTAAACTGCACGTCTGGTAGATCATTAAAACGTCACTTGAATAAGGCAAACTGATTACGTTTCAACTCTGGTTTCTTATTTTTTACTAAAGTTACTTTGAGTTCTGCGCAAACATCCTCTCCAGCTTCAGTTCTACTTTTACTTCCTTCTTTCCTTCCAAAAGCATTGGTGCACATATAACTGCTATATTTTGCAGCATTAATTTCAATATATTTCATTGTCGTTTTAGACCAACACAAAGTACTACATGACTGTGAATCAGAAGGAAACAGTAAAACACATCTACAATAAAATATTTTTTGAATAGAATGGCATGCTAAAGCATTGATTAGAGTTCACCTGTATGTGTAATTTAATCACTATGCAAAAAGAGCTGCATTAATAGGAATGTTTTATGACAATAAATTAATCATGAAAAATGATAAGCAATACAATAAATGCAGATAGGTCAGATATAAAGCTGTAAAACGTTTTTAAGACAGGACTAAATTAAACAAAGCAACATCCTGAGTTCTTAATGTTACATTTTCTTCCCATCATCAAAAATAGAAAGAATATGGGACACGTGTAAACAGAGCAAAACACTGCCAGTTTGCAGCTGCTTCTAATCGGGCATGTAAAAGAGAGTATTATTCAGAGAAGGAGAAGAAGAGGAATTGCAGAGATTCACATTTCGAATAGGAGAGAGTTAGTAGAACAGCTATATAAATAGTATCATAATGAAGAGTGGCATGAAGAAAGACATTGAAAAAGAGGAGGGATGGTAGGCATGTGAAAGGTGGCACCACCTTATACATAATATACTAATCCCATAGTGTGGTGGAAAACAAACAACATGAACACAACATTTACACAGTGTTACACGATGCTCAGGGGATGGTTTTCCTGACCTGGGACAATGTGACTAACCAGAGTTGATAGGAAGACACAGACACAGGACAATACTGGAAGAGAATCTTTTACACGCTCCAAAAGATTTAAGAATGGAGTAAGGGTTCATCTTCCAGCAGGAGAACAAACGCTAACATGCAGCCAGAACTACAATGTTTTAGACCAAAGCATGAAGTTGATTTCAGGAAAAATCAGCCAAGTCACACACCCCTCCTCGTCAATGATGCTGCAGTGGAACAGGTCAGGGACATTAAATTCCTGGGCACACAGAATACTGACACTTTGACATGGTCCCTCCAAATCTCTGATCTGGTGAAGAAATCTCAGCAACATCTGGACTTTTTACGTCAGATGAGAAGAGCAAACCTCCCCCCTCACATCTTCACCATTTTCTACACAGGGACGACAGAGACTATATTGGCCAGCAGTATCTCTGTCTGGTTTGGAGCATTGAATACCTCTGACTGGCAACGTGTAGGTGAGGACAGCTGAGAAAATCATTGGGACTGAGCTTCTTTCCAGCCTTGAAACAGCTCACAGTTGCTGTCTGTCCAGGGCTCGGGCAATTATAAAAGACCCCTTCCACCCTCAGCATAGTTTGTTCTCCCTGCTACCCTTTAGGAAAAGGTTCGGCAGCTTCAAATGCAGAACAACCAGACTCCTCAACAGCTTCATCCCTCATGCCCTGGCCCATAAGGATACTAAACTCACATTAGTTCAATCTTTTATAATATGCATTTATCCAGATCCCTTTATTTTTACTTATTTATTTATTATTGGAGCCTTGCAACAAAATTTCTTTCAATTTGTAAATTTTTAAATGTACAGCTTAATGACAATTAAATCTGTCCATATTCCTGTATTGCAATGTCAAAAAATCCATATTCTAAATTTAATCCAGAACCAAATGTGACCAATTTAAAGCGGTAGACAGACTTTACTAAAACTCTCCTTTATTTTACAGCTGAGACAGAAGGCGGCTCTATTGAAAGTGTGTAATATTGCACTTTAACACACAAAACAAAGCATGTTTCCAAACCTTTCCATATCTTTTATAGGAAAGGTTTGATAAACACAAAATAATTTCTCCATAGTAACTCCAGGTCTGTAAATTAAAAAAAAATGTAATTCTACTTTGATAGACAAAGCTGTTTAGTGTAAGTTTTCCCAACAGGCTGAACCTGTCGAGACGTCAGTGTCACGATAGCACTTTTCTGTTCAGTATATACGGTTTCCCAATAGTTACCTGCCAGTTACCTTTAGAGTTGAAATACACGTTTTTACGACAACTAAAGGTAGAGAGATATACCTAACACATGTAAAATGACCCCAGCAGCTTCGTAAACCGGACATATTTACCTTATCTCTGCCGTTGAGTGGCCGAGGTCACTTGGCGTGTCCACACAGTCGAGATGTCAACCAACGTATCGATCGTACTGCGCATGTGCGCAGTGGCTTGAACCCTCCCAGCCAATGCAGTGATTCACATTGCGCCGCAAGACGGACTCATGGGAAATGTAGTACACAGACAGTTTTAGGCTTGTGAAATGAAATATCCTATTTATTTTTATAATGTTTTGTGTTCTCAAATTACAAATTTGAAACAAAATTAAAATCTATGAAGTAACTGTAGCCATTAAGATAATCAAGTCAGGTTTCACATGTATTAACACGACCGAGAAATGCAAAATGGATGGCAGTTACCTTCAAATATTGGTTGTCATAGGAAACACTCTGAATATCTATTTGTGGCTAAAGGTAAGGTGGTAAGATTGCGATGACTATTGAGGATGTATAATTTTAGTTTTCTTCTTATACTAATTTCATTTTTATTTGTATTACGATTTTTAAAAAGAACTAGTTTGTTGCTTCTGTGTGATAAAAACAAAGTCACCTTGTGCGGGTACAGTAGACAAAAATCATCCTCAACTTCCCTCTGTAACCTATGTTCTCCCAAGTTAAAGTAAAAAGTACCCATCCAAGATATTACTCAAGGTAGAGTAAAAACGTATTTAATTAAAGGGCCACTGTCTAATCACAACATTTGTCGTAGTATTTTAGAAAGACATAATCAGACTGATAAAAAAAATTGATATTTAAGAATTAGGGTATTTTAAAAATGAAATGCATATAATTACAAAATAATAAGTTAAAGCAAGAGAAATATATTTCTAAGCATTTTTTATATTAAAAGTAAAACATTACAGTACATTATGTAAGTATGTTACAACGTAATTCAATTTGATTTATGGTGTATACAGTATATTCATTATCTCCAAATGGCTCAGCATGTAGAAAACAACATTAAAACAACAGACTATAGTCACCTTAATTTAAGCTGCAGATGTGTGTTGTGTGAATTTTTGGTTAAGATGTTTTGTCATTCATTCCCCGAAGTTAAGCAGAGTATTCAAAAAAGTGAGAGAGAGAGGCTTCATCATATTATTACTCAAGTAAAAGATAAAAATGTTGATGCCGTGGTTGTACTAAAAGTGTGTTTGTTCTTCAGTGTTACTTCAGTAAAAGTAACGGAGTGGACATAATTAGTTACCACTCACTTCAGCACCCTGAATGAATAAAAAGGTAAGATCAGTAGATTAGGCGATATGTGTAATGCTGTGTCATTTTCTGCCACTGGGTGACAGCAACAAGCTACATTCAGATGAGGTCACTTTTCTCTGACTAAATCTGGTTTTGACTGAATATGTTGCAGTGCCTTTCAGAAGTAGTCTGACCTTGACCTTTTCCACACTTTTCCACATGACAATACAATTTGTGGTGTTCTCAAGCAGCTTTCCATGCTTAGAGAAAATCTTGTTTATTTGTTCTTCTCATGCTTGGTCAAGCAGAATTTAATACAATTTGGAATAGAGTCATAACAGGCAAAATGTGGAAAAGTGATATGCTGTAAATACTTTACATATACACTGTAGACCATAAATATTTCTGCAGAAATTATGTTGATGTTTCTGTTATGTGTGGAGCAGCCCCAGCAGTAACAACAGAGGGAAAACATTCAAGCTTTTCAGTATTTGTATTATTTACTTATGTATAACTTATTTTAGAGATTTACACTATATTTTGGAAAATTATTGTAGGAGTCTACACAGACTCAGTAAACTAAAATGGGACACAAAAAAAATTAGATGTAGCAAATCAACAGTGGACCACAGAATGGTTTTGAGAAATGCCAGATGTAAAATACAGAACAAAAAAAAAAAAATCAAGCCAGAATAGAAACTAACCACTGAGTCATGAGACATATACAGTCAACTAGTTCTTGTTTCATTAGTAGTCGTCAAATTAAAACAGCGAAGCAGGTATATTTTTATTTTCTTCCTATTACAACGTATTGTAGTAGTAAACAGCAGAGGAGTATGAGCAGGATTGCTGTGGTCTTGCTTTGATATTTCGTAAGGTTGATTTATTTTTTAAAATACTGTCTTCATTAACAGCATGGTAATGATGCTTGTTTGTGTACAATATTTTTGGCCTTCAAATGAGTTAAAGTGCTTTTGTATTCCAGGTGAACTGATTCCAGGTGAACCAAGACAGTTACACCAAAAGATCAATCGGTAAAAATGGATACAAAAAGTATGTGGATGTTCTGCAGCCCACAACAGGACATCCTAAAGGACCTATAAATGAACACTTCACTTAAGACTAGAGAGAATATTTGTATAAATTTAAGCCTTATACAAAATTTAGATCTTAAGCAAATTGGAAAACACCAAAATAAATTAAATGTTTTGCACCTATTTCTAGTTTTTAGATACTGTTGAGGGCAGATGATGCAAAGTAATTTAACCCTAAAAAACAAACTATTCAAATCAATGTGTAAAAGAAAACAGCATTGAAATAATATTTGTACTTTTGGTGAACTCTTTTGACGACAGCTCTATCTCTGTACATTTATCTGTGTATCAGACAGACTGACGTGTACTTGAAAATCAGAAGCAGAAGTCCAGCAACATTCCAGAGGTAAATCTATAAAGTAATATTACTCGATAATTCTGCTTTAAAATATTCAGATCTGCTGAACTCATTCATTCAAAGCTGCAGGGAGATGCTGCTGGTTGTGGTGCTTCTGTTGCACCGCATCGTTACAGCTGAGGCCTGTCTGCAGTGTGACCGCACCATCAAGACCATGCATGAGGACTACATCTTGTCTGCTTCCTCCGTGGCAGAACAAATTACTTTTCAAATGATTTCTGACCAAGCCTTTGTGTCGTACAAGAAAACAAGTCAGAGTCGAAAGGGAGTCATTGGTGAGACTATAAACCCTGAACATTGTAAAATTTATTTAGTTCACTTTCTCATCTAATGTATTTGTCATGCATCGTGTTAACCTCTTTTTTTTATTTGTGTGGACTGCTTGAAACAAATTTAACCCTGCTAAGAGTTACTAAATATCTACAACAACTTACTGCTTACTCATTTTGTCGGGTTCACTTAAATTAAACAAGCCAATTTTCTAGAATTAGTTCTTGTCCTTCTTCTCTCTCACACACTTCTTGTTTTATAAAGGTTTTATTGGCTTTAATGGCCTTTATTTGAGTGTTTAGACAGGAAGGTAGGTTATGAGAGAAGAAAAGACATGTGATAAAAGTTCAAACAGCCACAGCCACTGCAGCACGCCTCTCTCCCACCTCACAGAATTATTACTTTGTAATTATCATCACTGTCATCTGCAGGTGTCGCTTGTGTCAGATTTACAGGAATACCAGAATCACAATACCAAGGTTCCAGCTTGGGACTTTTGCATGTAGAAAAAAAAATTTAATTAATTGCACTAATGGTCCAAAAATAAAGAAAAAAACATTAAGAGTGGTGATATCCCTATTACACGTCAACACACTGTGGTAGTCCTGTCTTTGACAAACACAGACTGCTATTGTTGGAAACTGCTGTTAGCATAGCGCTAACAGCGTAGCTTAAGATAAAATAATAAATTGAAGCTTGTTGTGATGTGAATGGAAAGGCTGAGATTTGTTTTTCTTCATGTGTCAGATGAGACACATTACTGGTCCCAAAAAAGAAAAAAAAAACTCAAGTATAGCATTTGTACTTGGAGGCAGTATTGAGTCAAAGTACTTTTCAACACAGAAAAAAAGAACAATTATCAAGTGAGAGAGACTTTTCAACCACAAATTCCAAGTATTTTTACTAAAAGTGAGTGTTGATAGCAATTTGATATAAGTCAACTTACTATTTTCAATTAAATTCTATTTAGTATTTACAGTTTATGTGCTTGCTTGTTTCTTATTATTGTGATTTTCTGAAACATCATCACCAACACATTTGTCTTTTTTGGTTACTGCTTAGATCCAACCACGTTGTACAGAGCCAAAACTGAGTACCAGAGTGAATTTCACCGCTTCTTGAACGCTCCTCGTGTTGGTGAGATTCAAAGATAAATGAGAGGGAAACCGTTACTTAATATTAGTGAGCAACTGTTTCTGGAAGCAAAGTAAAGTGACGAGCTCAGATATTACTCACATCTTTGCATTAAATTTAACATCAGTGCAACCTGTCTCTGTTTTCAAAGAGGCTATAAAATTCGAAACCATTCAGATCATGGAGAAAGGCAGGCAAATCTTAGAGAAACACTTGGACATTTTCATTCCTAAAGGTAATCAACTTGAATAGTAGCAAGTTCTGCCTGGTATGAAGCAAAGCACTTTGTGCAAGTCAGTGCTGTGCATTAGTTATGGTTCATTTCTCTGTTTCTTTTTCCTTCAGAACTTTGCCCCAACAAGTGTGGTACGTTTGCTCTCTGATCCTACCACCTGTGTTGCTTCTGCCTGTGTAAATCGTGTTGAGTTGGTGCATGCTAACTGAACACGTGTGCATGCATGTGTGGCTTACAGGGTTTCTCAAAAGAAGAGTATTGGATTGTGTCTCTTGCAAGTACAAGACGTACGTCTGTCCAGTTGTGTCAGACCAGCTGGTCTGTGACGGTATACTTTTATTTTTTGTAGCTTAGTGTTTATATGTTGTTAGTGAGAAGGCTGAGGAATGGATGGGAGTCCTACCTATGAGACAAGAGTGCATCATTCCTGCAAGTGCATTAAAACATGTCACGGGTCTGGACATGTTTTAGCAGCAATTCGAGCAAAATGCTGCTACATGTCCATGTGCAGTGCTAATGAAGAAGATTACAGAGGTAATCCGGACGCAAATAAATAAAAGAGCTCCTGATCTGCCCTCATCTCATTTTTTTCCAGTGCATACAGTGCAGGGAGAGGAGGAAGGCCAAGTGGTATTGAATTGCTTCCTTCCATGGCATCGTTTCATTCTGGGAAAACCAGAGTACCACTACTCCAGGGCCATTGGAGAGGCAGATGCCACAAAGGTCTCTTACAGCCGAAACATGTTATTGCAAAAGGAAGCATAAATGGCACTTTAAATTTCACTTTAACATAGCTTTTTATAACCCAAATCAAGTGCATGTCCTGGTTTTATCCCATGTTTAGCTTTTTGAAAGCACATTTTTCCTGTTTGCTGTGTCACTTCCAAATTTGTATACGCAGCTGACTGAAAAGGATTTTCAGCCCTTGGTGGTGACACAAGACGCATCTATAATCCTGAATCAGCTTCATTTGGATGAGCAAGGAACATATCGCTGCTCTCTGCAAGATGAAAATGGAGCCGTCTACTATCGAGCCGCTTTCCTGCTCACAGGTGAAATCGGGTTTTATTACGTGGCACACAGTCGATGCAATGCAGGGTATTTGCAGGAAGTGAATTATGCTGTAACACTGTGAGCGCACCCATGGTTAAGATATATCTTTAAAATGATTTGACGAGATCAAGGTCAAGTTGAATTCAAAATGATATGCAAGGAAATAGAACTATCATTCACTGAATGAGAAGCCAAGAAGTAGTATTTAATCTGGGCAGCTTGATTACTGACATGCTGGACAGGTGAGTTATACAGGCAGCTTGGGAGTCCAGGAACTTAAACATGGAAAGAAGCCTCTTATTTCCTTTTTTTCTTGGTTGGTTCTCTTTAAGGTTGGACAGCTTCCCTGCCATCACCCTAATCTGTCACTCTCACTACAGATTATCTCTCAGACCAGGCAACTGGGGAACAAATCTAAAGTGTTAATACTACTTCCAGTCAGAAGAACCAGAATAATTGAAACCTTTTGGGGTTAACTCTAGACGGAGTGGAGTGTTTGTCTGTTTAGTGACTTTAGTCTGAACAAAATGCTTGGTGTTAACAATCCCTGGCCTGTAACACTGACTCACGTCTGTTTTCACTCTCCTCCTCATCCTCCTTCACAGTCGAGCCTTTGGCTCTTCAGACCCGCCAGCCCTTCGTCACTCTGCCCCCACTGGCTCATGGCGTCTCCTCTACAGAGAACCGTCTTGTGGTTCTCATTGTTGTGGTTACAGCACTGAGTCTGGCAGCGAGCGTAGGCCTCATAGTTCTCCTGAGGTGAGAGACCTGGGTGGACGAGTGGGCGGGGAATCCCAGGAAGGGTGGAAGTGGAAAGAAATGATACCGAGCAACATGAATGACAGACTAAATCATGTATCGTGAAGCAGAGCCAGCTATGATCTTAGGTTTTATTACTAAATCACGATTTATTAGGCTGAATGAACACAGCTGAACTGAGTCAGTTTGTTTTTTGGGAAAAAAAGTCTTTACTTCTTCCAGTGAGTGTTGTTAGTTATATTAATATTAAAAACCACAAGCATGTTTTTTTTTAAAATGGTTTTCCTTTAAAAGGGACTTTCTCCGTTATCCTTTCTGTAGGACGATGATGAATCGGCAGAAACAAGTCAAAGACATGAGGATCAAAAAGAATGGCAAACGCACAAAGGCCACAGTATGATGTATACAGTAATTACACTTTCACGGGACGGGAAAGGTTTCCTCACTTCTGTTTCTATGAACAAATAAATTTTACAGCATGAAGTGTCAAGTCATGTCTAGAAATGATGTGAAAGTTCTTATAGGTCTCGGTGCCATGGAAAAAAGATAAGTCACTCGAGAGTTGTAGATCTTGTTTTCATTTGGATCAGGTGTGAGCTCATATGACAGAAAGTTGGCAGAGGAACAAAAGTAGAAATTGCACAACACTGAGCTCTTTCAGCTGCATTCTGACCTTTACATTCACAAGTGATCAGCATAAATTACATACTAATTTGGGCCTTTGCTGATTCATTTTCAATTCTATTTTTAAGGGTAACAAAATAACTTCAATTATTTTTAAAACAAGGATTAGGTGAGTGAATTTGATTTTATACAGAACCTTCTTTACTCCACAGAGAGTCGACATTTTAAATACTGCGACCTTCAACAAACTCCTGGCATATTTCAGGGTGTGGGAGGGTTTTCTTGTTTTGTTTCAAATAATTTAAGGTCAGTGATTTGAGGGACTATCCCAGAGAAATAATGTCAGTCTCTGTTATTGACTCCAAAAAACAATTCTGAAGTGCAATTTTGGATTATTGTGCAATTAAAAAAACCTTCCATGATCACGTTAAATCATACTAATAGGATTTACCAGTGGTAATTCTGTAATGATCAAAGTATATAGAATAATAAAGATAACCTACAAATCTTACAATTTTACATTGAAGCTTACAAATGCAAGAACAAAATGTCGTCTGTCAAGCCAGGTGGTGGAAGCGTCATGCTGTGGGCTTGGTAATGAAGACAGAATGACTTCTAAAATTCAAAGTTGGATGTTCCAGAAGGACAAAAGCTTTCAAACATATCAAAACTGCTTTAAGAATTGATAAATCAGCCCAACATTAAGCCCCTGGAATAACTTTCAGTTCTACAGAAAGCGTGAGGACTATGTATGAAAGCCAAACCCATCCAAGCAAATCATTCAAATTACATGAGTCCTTCTGTTTCCCCAGAAGGACATTCAGATTTTTACCAGGAAACTGAAAATCTGTTAACTGGTCACAAGTAATCAAATTACGTTTGTGCTGTGGTGACATTGAGGTTTAGCATGACTCATGTTCGGAGGCCTTAGTCCTCAAGGAGGCCATCACAGGCTCGAGTCGTTACCTTATGACCTTTGGGAATTCCCACTCTCAAATAAGGGTCGATAGAGAAAATAAAACCTTAAATAAATAAGTTCATCGAAGTACATTTATTAGATAGATTACATTACAAACTTGTAGTCCTGAAAAAGAGAAAAAGACGGGTATCTTTTCTGGAGGTAATCATACCAATGTCTCCAAAATACTGATTTATATCTTACTGCATTGTGTTTATTAAGTTAAACAAATAAGTTCGACAAACCTAATCTGATTACAGGTGACAAATTAACACATTTTTTATAAGTTGGAGCTTGATTCTCTTATTTCAGTGTACAAATTTTGCAAAAGGTCATTTCAACTAATATTACTAGGATTTAATGTATTTAAGTGTGTTGTATAATTTTGCCTGTGTGTAGAAGAAAAACAACCCCATAAATTTCAAAATTGCTCACCCAATTGTTGCTTTTAAAATTCACTGAAGTTGCTATCTGTGCCTGGAGTGAGTAGAAGTTAACTTTTTGATCGTAATTGCACCAGAGCGTATTACAAATCCGACCCCAGCATGGACACCTCCTCTTCCTCCCCCAGCCAGATGAAGTGGGGCTGTGTGGCCACGTGGACATCCGAGAAGAGAATCAGGGATGAGGAAAATCTCCTGGATTAGTGTTTTTCAGATTAATAGCCCCAGCCACCCAAATAATCCTAAATAATCCCTCTGGTGGGAGAAAGGAGATAAACCCAAGCAGCAGATGTCATCAGAAGTTCTGTTGATGTTTGTTTACTCATGTATTCATTCAGAGAAAAAAAAATCAACAAATGTGACTGTGAATATTAAGTCTGTCCTGATTTCCAATCATGACTGTTAACTGATCCAGAAGAAGCGTCTCTTCTGATCTTTGACTGTGTTTACGAGGCAACAGTGGTTCATATTTTGTATGCTACTGAGTTAATTTGCTTCCTGATGCCAGTGTCAAGTCACGTTTCCTGGAAAAACAGTCATTACCAGCGACAGATCTAAACCAGTCTTTCAGCAATATTTAACGGGGGAGGAAAATTAAATATCATAAACTGAAAATGAAATTAACTGATATTAGATGAGTAACCAGCACCAGGAAATCACCTTCGAAATCACAAATGGCACTGAGAATTTTTCAGAAATTTTCTGACAAAGGCTTGAATATGTGTAGGTAGTTCTGAGCTGTGACAACAGAGGTTGTGACAATACAAAGTGAGGGTGTGTGGAGGTTGTGGTTTGTCTTGATGGTGACAGGATGTGTGTCTGCTGCTGCTGCTGCTTCCTTTGGGGCTTGCTGACATGGGGGAGAGGAGTAAAAAAAAAAGAAAACACTCTTAAAGACACCCACACAAAGACTCTCACGTCACAATGTTCCAGCCAAGCAGCCTTCAACGTCTCACCAGTCTGACTCCATTGTGTTTAAACCCACTGTACATGCTGAGGCTACCGTAAGCACACTCTCAGCTGCTCTCCTGACAGCCATGATGAAGTGTGTAGTAAAGTGTGCTTGAGTGTGTACACTGCAGTGGATTGAAAGTGCTGCCTCAGCTGGGAGACGGGATGACAAAGTGGTCGCGCTACCGGAGGAGAAACAGGCAGCGGTGAGGGGAAGGGAAGTGGGAGCATGAAGAAAGTTGGAGTCAGAGGTTTGAGTGGGAGAGAATCATGTGGGAAGGCAGAGTAATTTCAGTGTGGGCTATGAGGAAACGAGGACAAAGATGTGAGATTACAACCTATCATATGAGCAATACGACAGTAAACATACAGACACCATACTGATAGTTATGGAAAGACATCTGCATGACTAGTTCACTAAAATAGAACGTCTGGCATTTAACGTCCTTGTTATTTGTGTTTACTGAAAAAGTTTTCATTGAAAATTACTTTTAAAGCACCAATTTATTTCAAGGATGATCTGAGACTCTGTACAAGCAAGAAAACTACGTACTCTGTTTTTAAGCAATCCAATCAAAACAACTCATTCCATTGCATTCCCGTAAATTCACGTTGAAAGACACCTAAACAGTGATAATCAAATGATCATACAATTATTCTACACAAATTTGAAAAATACTTGATTATAAGTTTTCAATTCAAAGCATATTTTATTGGTTTTACTACCACTTTTTTCTTTAAATACTCGCCTGCTTATATTGTTGCATCTGGTTTTCAGTTTTTACCTGTTTTAACCCAAAATATTTATAAATCTGAAGTTTGTAAGTGTTCATCACAATGGTGTAAAGCTACAAAAAGATTAATACAAATAGTTTTTATTTGTATTAATAAAAATACACTTCTAGCTTTGTCTACTCAAATCACCCTTTGAGAAAAAAAAAAACCTTTTCAACAAATGATTTAAAAGATCAAACATAACATTTCATTCACCGATAATGAGTGTGAACTACACCACCCTCTTTAATAATAAAAAAAAGAGTTTATTCGATATTGGTATTTTATTAATTAACAACTTGTTTTTGTTAATTTTTTTTGTTTGTTTTGTTTTGTTTTCTTAATTTATTTTGGGTCATAAATATCCATTATTTCACATTTGTCACCAACTGAGCAGGAAAAGGAAACTGATTTCTTTACTAAACATTGCAAACCCCTAAATATCCATATTTGAATGTTTAAAATTTCACCTACAGATCACTTGCAAAACAAAATACAAAATACATAACTATTTTAGTCAGTTTGATTAAAATATTTTCTATTTATTGCATTGTGAGTATGTTCACAATACTGCATTCACTGAGAAATGTTGTCATTGTGACATATCTTCCTCTTTCCCATGACGTTCATCATAGAATAAAAATACATTTCCTATATTTATTGCTGAATAAGGCATTGTTTTATTTAGACTTGCTTACGCAATAGGCTTCAATGGCGGTCCTGTTTTAGTACACTTCACTGAAATCATGTTATGACCTTTGTGATGACAAATGTTTTTGCACATTTATTTTACTTTAATACTAAAAACACTCAAGATAAAGTCGTTAGTTAACATGTTTAGTATCGTGCATTTCTTAGTAATTGATATTTTTTTATAATAAATGTTGCATTGTACAGTAAAATCCGGGTAAACATTTTGTATTAGACACAAAGTCTACAATGGCATAATTTGAATGTAACATTTCCCCTTTCCCAAAAGTGAATTCATAATAGAAAACAAACAGGAATGAACGATGGAAAGTGTAACATCTGTTTGTGACAGACATGGACAGAGAAACAGGGCAGATTTGCAGTGGCTTAGAGCTCCAGGGGATTAATTTGACCCAAATGATAGCCACAGCCTCCAGCATTTCCTCTGAAGGCTGCAGCTCCACGCTTCCAACTCGCAGCATCACGTCACTCAACACAAAAACACCCTGTGACCCCAAACGACCACGTGCGCAGTAGGAAAGTTGAGCTTTACGTCAGTGTCCATATGAGGGCTGTCGGACCAACCATATTTGGCTGTTCCGCCTGTGACGTTGCTGCCTCTTCGGAAAACGGGGCGGAGTCAGCGCGACCCCGCCCCTCTGGCGGCTGTTATCAATGAACAACTGAAACTATGAAGCTGAAGACGGTTCTGTCCGCCTCAGGGAGAGTCCAATTCCTCTCTCCACTTACTCAAACTCAATGTTTTTGCAGTTTTATTGTTTTGCATTTACCACTATATTGTTTAGTTGTTTTTTTTCTTCTTAAATAAACACCTAGTTTTTGTGCACTTTTTAAAAGTTTTTTTTTAAGTTGACTTTTTACCTGTTTCAAACTTTTGCGCCATGGCTTCAAGCAGTGTAACACTAGAAATAACCACCAACGAGCTGGTCCACATCCTCAGGACCCCACGGGATCAGTACACCTCCAGTG